GAAAAGAGATAAAGTAGTCAGTCCTCTTACCTGGGTATTGTCTGTATAATGAAAATATCTTGGCCACGAACAGATTCTTTTATTTCAACTCTTGTTTCTGAAAAATAAAAATGTTCTAAAGTTTTAAGAAAAGTTCCTATGTGTAAAAAGGAGAAAAAAGAAAAAAAAAGCACTTCATGCCGGGCACAGTGGCACATGCCTGTAATCCTAGCACTTTGGGAGGGCCAAGGAAAGGAGATCACTTGAGCACCAGAGTTCAAGAACAGCCTAAGCAACATGACAAAATCCTGTCTCTACAAAAAATACAAGAATTAGCTGGGCATGGTGGCTTACGCCTGTAATCCCAGCACTTTGGGAGGCCAAGGTGGGCGGATCACTTGAGGTCAGGAGTTCGAAACCAGCCTGGTCAACATGGTGAAACCCCGTCTCTACTAAAAATACAAAAATTAGCCGGGCATGGTGGCAGGCGCCTGGAATCCCAGCTACTCAAGAGGCTGAGCGGAAGAACTGCTTGAATCTAGGAGGCGGAGGCTGCAGTGAGCCAAGATCGTGCCATTGCACTCCAACCTGGACAACAGAGCAAGACTCTGTCTCAAAAATAAAAAAATAAATACATAAATAAAAAATTTTAAAAATACAAGAATTAGCAAGGGCCAGGCGCAGTGGTTCATGCCTGTAATCCCAGCACTTTGGGAGGCCGAGGTGGGTGGATCACAAGGTCAAGAGTTCTTCAAGACCAGCCTGGCCAATATGGTGAAAAACCATCTCTACTAAAAATACAAAAATTAGCCAGGCGTGGTGGCACGTGACTGTAGTCCCAGCTACTCAGGAGGCTGAGGCAGGAGAATCACTTGAACCCAGGAGGCGGAGGTTGCAGTGAGCCGTAATCGTGCCACTGCACTCCAGTCTGGGTGACAGAGCAAGATTCTATCTCAAAAAAAAAATAATTAGCCGGCATGGTGGCAGGTGCCTGTAGTCCCAGTGGGAGGATCACCTGAGCCAGAGAAGGTCGTGGCTGCAGCATGAGCTGAAACTGTGCCACTGCACTCCAGCCTGGGCAACAGAGACCTTGTCTGGAAAAAAAAAAAAAGAAAGCAAGCAGAAAAGCAAAGCACTCATGATGCAACAGTTAGATAACATTTGGAGGGAGTAAAGATTAATCTAAACCAACATTTCATCTGGTGCAAAACAATAAATCTCGGAGCAGTATAAAGAAGAGGAAGCAAGAAGGACCCCCAGACTGACCGAAGTCCGTGCACTGCCACTGCATTCCGCTCCCAGTGCCTGCATCTGGCCGCCTTTGCTGCCACCATGCCCAAGAGAAAGGCTGAAGGGGATGCTAAGGAAGGTGAGGCCAAGGTGAAGGACGAACCACAGAGAAGATCCGTGAGGCTGTCTGCTAAACCTGCTCCTCCAAAGACAGAGCCCAGGCCTAAAGAGGCCGCTGCAAAGAAGGGAGAGAAGGTACCCAAAGGGAAAAAGGGAAAAGCTGACGCTGGCAAGGAGGGGAATGACTCTACACAAAGTGGAGATGCCTGAACAGACCAGGCACCTGCTGGAGATGCCGAGGGAAGTGAGTGCATTTTTGACAACTGTGTACGTCTGGTGACTGTACAGTTTGAAATACTATTTTTTATCAAGTTTTATAAAAATGCAGAATTTTTTTTTTCTAAGCTATGTTGTTAGCACACAGAACACTTCATTGTTGTTTTGGGGGAAGGGGCACACGTCATGAATAGAATGTCTCTGAAGCTGGATTGATGTGGGGAAAGCACCTTTCCCTTCCAGTTTTTCTGTTTTTGTTGTTGTTTTGGTTTTTTTGAGACAGAGTTTTGCTTTTGTTGCCCAGGCTGGAGTGCAATGGCGCGATCTCGGCTCACTGCAGCCTCTGCCTCCCAGCTTCAAGCGATTCTCCTGCCTCGGCCTCCCTAGTAACTGGGATTACAGGCATGTGCCACCATGCCCGGCTAATTTTCTATTTTTAGTAGAGATGGGGTTTCTCCATGTTGGTCAGGCTGGTCTCGAACTCCTGACCTCAGGTGATACACCCGCCTCGGCCTCCCAAAGTGCTGGGATTACAGGCGTAAGCCACCGCGCCTGGCCCCTTCTAGTTTTGAGACTTCCTCTCGGCTCCCAGGAAGAGGGGTCCCCTGAGTTTGACACACATGGCCACCTCAGCACACAAAAGCCTCGTTGTCTGAAAAGACAAATTCGTGTCTATGTCCTCTTCTCCGTTTCCACCGTTCAGCATAGACTTATATCCCTTAAAGCCAGACACTGCTGAGACCTGACCCCCCATAATTGATTTCCAGTGTGTCAGGCAATCTGCACCTTCCAGTGATGCCACTGACATGGCGCCCCTCAAAAGAGCAGTGGTTCCGCTTCTACACTGTGGATCTTCAGATAAATTCTGCCATTTTCATTTCACTTCCTGAAAGCCAGGGTCAGCTCGTGAAAAGTTGTTAAACATGCTAAATGTTCACTGAGTTTTACAGTGACTTTCTGATTTTTGGTAGTTCATTGAAAAGGGGAGTTTGAAAGTTACTGGGCCAGGCACAGTGGCTCATGCCTGTAATCCCAGCACTTGGGGAGACTGAGGTGGGCGGATCACCTGTGGTCAGGAGTTCAAGACCAACCTGACCAACATGGCAAAACCCTGTCTCTACTAAAAATACAAAAATTAGCCAGGCGTGGCTGCACACGCCTGTAATCCCAGCTGTTCGAGAGACTAAGGCAGGAGAACTGCTCAAACCTGAGAAGTGGAGACTGCAGTAAGCTGAGATCACGCCACTGCACTCCAGCCCGGGGGACACAGCAAGACTCTATCTCAAAAAGAAAAAAAAAAAGAAAGTTATTATATGCTGTTAATGATTGTCTACCCATGTCCTGCCTGAAATACCATGATTGTATATTGAAAGTATCTTTAAAGGCCGGGCAGTCTGGCTCATGCCTATAATCCCAGCACTTTGGGAGGCCAAGGAGGGCGGATCACGAGGTCAGGAGAGCAAGACCATCCTGGCTGACACGGTGAAACACCGTCTCTACTAAAAATACAAATAAAAACAAAATTAGCTGGGCATGGTGGCGGGTGCCTGTAGTCCCAGCTACTCGGGAGGCTGAGGCAGAAGAATGGCATGAACCCAGGAGGCAGAGCTTGCA